TGCGCGCCCCTCCGGGTCCCTCGCTCCGCGCCTCCCCGCTCGCCTCGCGCGCCCGCAGGGCTGGCCTCCCTCTCGGCCCTCGGCGTCGTGTCCGTCTCCCTCCAGCATCCTTCCATCGCCCTCCCCCAGGCGCGGTCCCTGTCCCCCCTCTCTCCCCTCCGTCGCTCTCCCCTCCTCTCCCGGCCCCTCACCCACCGCCGCCGAGCCATCCGCCTGGATTCTGCGTTCCCCGGCGCCCTCGTCCCCATCACCGATTCCTGAGCACCCCCCATCTAAAGCGCCCCCAGCGCAGTGTCAGCCCCGAGCCTCTCTCGCACGCCTCCCCCCCACCCGCCTCCATCTGTGCGTGTTTTGCCCCCCGTCTCCTTCCCTCTGCGTTGCCTTTTTCTGTCGTTCCTGCCTCCCCCGATTTGCTTTGTTCACGTGCGTTTTCCCTCGGGGGGGGGGGCCGGGATGCGCCTGGGGCCTCCGGGAGGCCATGGGTTCCACGCCCGGAGGGAACGGGGCCGGGCCAGGCTGGGGCGGTGGGGCAAGCCGGGGGACGCGGGGAGGCGGAGGCAGGGGTCGAGAGGGACCGAGAGGGGTCGGGAGCCGGCTCCCAGCAGGGTGGGGCCGGCCCCGTGGAGGAACTCGGGGACCGGACCGCACCTGTCGGCGGGGGCTGGCGGGGCGGGGCCGGCCCTTTATTTACCTTTGACTGCGAGAGAAAAGCGCCTCCTAATTCGTCCAACCCCCTCACCTCTTCGCCTCGCTACCGCCTCCTGCTCCCCTGTGCCCTGCACCTACCCCACTCTCACGGCTCAACAGATTGATCCATCCCTCACCCCAACCCCTCAGTTTTCCCCATCCCAGCTCCCCATTTCTCCCGCCTACACGCCCCAGTGACCTCAGGCTGAGAAAATAATCCGTGTTATTATTACAAACAAACTCACTCTCTGGAAGCCTGATTTCTCTGGGAGCTGATTTATTTCCATGGATACCCCCCTCCTCTTCTGCTTTCACCTCTTCTTCGGGTGCTCTCCCTCCCCCTCCCTGCCCCCCAGCAGAGCTCTGACTCAGCTCTCCCTCCTCTAACCAAGGCCACCTCCCCCTCCCCTCTCATCTCCCTTCTCCTCCGAGATTGCTGTAGGCCTGCCCCATTCCCACTCTCTCTGCCCACACCTTTTCCTCTTTCCCACAAGCCACAGCCTCTGCTCTGACCCATCTCACCACACCCCTGTAGCCCCACGGGAGAGCAGGGGCCCCCTTTGGAGGGGTCCTCCCTCCCTCAGACCCCTTCACCAGGAGCCCTTTCCTCTTGCACTAGCTATGTGAAATGCCTCCTCAGGCCCAAGGCCGGGTTCAGCTTGTCCCTTCTCAGGAGTGCACCCCTAATCCTCAATTCAGAATCATAAAACTGCGTGTGTCGAAAGGATCTATCCAGTCGTCGAGATCAGCAACCATCGGATGCTTGAGTCTAGAACTATCCAGGTGGTTCTTCCCCAAGCCTACCGGGAGGCACCACCCTGCCCTCAGGCCATCAGGTTCCCTTCACCAGGAGCTCGGGCCTCACCCTAACAATTTCGTTCTCAGCCCTCGGCTTTCCCTGACAGCCCTGTAGCCTTGTCCACTCCCTCCCATTGTTTTCTGTCTTCTCTTTGACTTGAATTCATACTCTTCTGGTTCCTATTTTAAAAAGTTCCCTTCTCTCCTCCCGCTGTTCCCCCTCCACGCCTTGTTAATCCATCACTTGTCTGCCAACAGTCAGGTAAAATGATCCTGGCTCACTCTGCTTTCTCTGCTCTCACTGTCTCTGGGTGAACACACCCACCTCCAGCCTCTATCCCCACCAAATCCTTGTCGGACAAACTCACCAAATCTCTTTTCCTCTCAGACAAATTCACCAACTCCTGCGGAGGGTCCACAACGTTCTCTCCACCTGACAGAATAAAGCCGGCACATAGAGAACTCCCACCCTTATTTATAGAGACATAATAGGTGAAAAGCACAGCTTCTGAGTGCACGCATGCAGAAACCCTTAAAGGTTCCTCAGGCGAGAATGAACAACAGTTTTGCTACTAAAACCCAACCCCTCCATTTAAACGATAACAAGTAAGGCCCTCTACCCCTTTTTCTGTGAGTGCTGTTCTTGGTTGAGCTCAAAGTGAATATTTTAGCTTAGCATTAGGATTTCTCCGACTCAAACACTGGGGAGAGTAGGGATGGGCAAGGAAGGAGTCCTAGCTGGAGGGAAGGCAGGGGTCTGCAGGGGCTGCCTCAGTGTGTGGCCTCTGCATCCTAAGACCAAGGAGGGGCCCTTGGGTCAGGCTCCCCTAACTCTCTGGCCACTGCAGGGAATGAGGTGATTGCAGTGGATTGGAAGGGCCTGAAGGATGTGGACCAAATCAATATGGACAGCACCAGCTCGCTGCACGGGAGCAGTCTCCATCGGCCATCTACTGAGGTGAGCCCCCCTTCCCCAGCCGCCTCCTCCCCAAAGAACCTCTGAAAGACCCCGGGATCCATCGTGAACAAAGCCTCCCAGCTGCCTGATCCTTGAATTTTCCTAAAGTCCAAGACAACATCCTAAACGCTCCTTCAGACGGATGCTTTTACATAGCATTTCTGCTACATTCCTCAAAATACAAGCGACATGTTCTCCACTGCTATCCTCATTCCCTATGCTAATCTCAGGAAAGCCCTCCCTCCTTCATGCACGTCTGGGAATCTCTCTGAGGAAGGGGGGGGGTTCCTTCCATTTCTGGAAGTGCCTGAGATGCCCACTCCCTTGCCTCTCTCCTCACAGCAAACCCGAACGGACTTCTCCTGGGATGGCATCAATGTGAGTGCAGCTTCGCCCACCCCTAGCCATCCCCTGCCCAGCCTAACTCCCCTTCCTACAATGCTCCCTCAGGCCCTCCATAGAACACAGTGCTCCCTCACCCCCACAGGCACTGTGAGCCCTTCTGTTCTCTCCCTACCCCAAGCCCCCATCCCAATTTTTAACGGTGGATGGGGGATATGCCTCCTTGGGAACTCTGGGTATAATTATTTTCTTTATCACCTGACCTAGCTCAGGTCCTTCGGCTGGAAACCATCAACTTTCCTCCATGTGTAGAGCAGCCCCCATGCCCTCATAGTCTCTGCCCCTTCTCCCACATTTCCTATTCCAGCTCTCCATGGAGGACACCACTTCCATTCTTCCGAAGCTTAAGCGAAACTCAAACGCCTATGGCATTGGGGCCCTGGCCAAGTCATCGTTCTCAGGTGAGACCCCTCACCTGGGGACTCTCCAGACAGGAGATACTTACAGGCTCCGTGTCTCAGTCTCCCTGCTCCTTCAGGCCTAAAGAGGACTCTCACCTGCCTACCCCTGACCTCTTTGCCCTTTCGGTCAAGCCTCTCCCATCCTCCAGGCTGCCATCATCTATGGAGACCTAGGGGAGCCTCCCCCCACCCCCCACCCCATGGGATGGGATCCCCTGGGTTGGAGTGGTGGTGGTGGGGCTAATGAGATCTGTTATGGGTATTGTGTGATATTGTGATATGGGGAATGTCTGGCCCTTCAGGGATTTCCAGAAGCATGAAGGACCACGTGACAAAGCCCACAGCCATGGGGCAAGGCCGAGTGGCCCACATGATCGAGTGGCAGGGCTGGGGGAAGGCGCCGGCCATTCAGCCGCAACACAGCCACGAGGCCGTGCGCAGGGATACTGACGCCTACTCGGACCTCAGCGACGGCGAGAAGGAGGCACGTTTCCTTGCAGGTAACTTGTTTCCCTAACCCTCAAGAGGCACATTTTGGGATGGCCAGGGGCTGACCCTCCAATCCCACTCCCTATGAAGACGGGCTGTGTCCATATGATGACCACCACACTTCATTTCCCGACCGGCTCTAATTTCAGATACTTTGACTGAATCCTGATAAGTGCTCTCCAACTGATTTTTCTCATTTCAGAAGGGATGTTATTTTTATATTTTATCAACTCTGAGGGGAGTTAACATGGAATTGTGGGTCCACCTGCTGCCTTTTCTCCTACGTGTTCCGACTAGCCAAGCCCTGGACTCCCTCAGTACAGGGAAAAAAGGCAGGGGCCCCGTGGACTCCAAAAGGCTCTCTTTCTCCTGATACTCCTTGAGGAAAACGCAAGGCCGGCCTTGGGGATTTTTTCTAGTCTGAGCCCGTCAGCATGTTGCAGTCATGTCTCATTACGTGTGACAACCACCAGAAGATCAAGAGACCTGGGTGAAGAGCGGGGGCCATACAGAAGAGGTTTCACTCCAGGAAAGTAGTGTAGATACGAGACGGGCATATAGTGCCTCCACACTGGGGGCTGAGCCCTAGTGGCAGGTCTCAGTAAGATGCTTAGGAAGACTGGCAGATCTGGGAGAGAAGGGAGGGACCTTTGTGTTGGTGGTAAGGGTGGTGGGAAACATATCAGTGAGGGAGGAGACAACATGCAGGAGGTAGAGGGTGCCTTAGGGTAGCCAGCAATGTAAGCTTCAACTTACTCATGGCTTTGGCCAGAACGGGGGCCCCCCAAGTCTACCCATCCTCACTATTCTACCCTCCCTCCCTTCTTCCAATCCCTTGGACTTTCAACTTGGTATCACTGTGGACTCACGATCCCATGATGCTCTCTTGGGGATTCTCTGGCGATCTTGAGCTTTCCCCTCCAGGCCCCCCCTCTTGCCCCCCAATCTAGATTCCTCTGTCCTTGACTACCTAATACTAGCTACCACCCTACAAACTTCCAAAGATAAACTTCTGAAAGTCCTTCATTTCAATCCTGTAGGATATCTCACCCGAAGACCCCAACTCTTTCCCTTAGGAATCCTAAATCTGACCTCCTAGGAAGTCCCCCACGATTTTGCCTTGTTTCGGGGCATATAAAAGGCTATGCTGTGCAGTACAGTAGCCACTAGCCACATGTGGCTACTGAGAACTTGAAATGTGGCTAGTCCGAGTACAGATGTGCTGTAAGTGTAAACTATCGACTGGATTTCAAAGACTTCATGTGAATAGAAGAACATAAAATGTCTCTAATTTTATATAGATTATATGTTGAAAGGATAATCTTTCATGCATATTGGATTACATAAGATATATTAGTAAAACTAATTTCACCTGTTTAATTTTCTTTAATAAGGCTACTAGAAAATTTTAAATTACGTAAGTGGCTTGCATTATATTTGTATTGAACAGCGCTGCCCTGATGTCCCCTACCCCATGCATGTATCTAAGGGTCCTTGGAAGTATCTTGTGCTAAGTACAGTTCTTCCCCCCAGGTGTCATGGAACAGTTTGCCATCTCTGAGGCCACACTCATGGCCTGGTCTTCCATGGATGGTGAGGACATGAGTGTCAACTCTGCCCAGGAGCAATTGGGCTGCAACTACAGTGACAACTACCAGGAGTTGATGGAGAGTCAGGGTGAGGAAGGTTCCAGAATCCAACCCCTGAGGTCTAAGAGGCCTCCCCAACTACTGAGGCTACGTCCATTCATCTCTGTTCTTCTAAGACTTTGTGTTCATCTCAGCTTTCCTGCTCCCCTCCTTCCTCAGTCTCACCCTCAGTTCTCTGTGCTGTTGTTACTGCCTTTGATAGTCTGTGACCCAGCTGACCTCCATGATTCTCTTTACAGATGCCCTCGCCCAAGCCCCCATGGATGGTTGGCCTCACTCCTACGTGTCCCAGGGCATGTACTGTCTGGGGTCGTCCGATGCCTGGGAAGCAAGCGACCAGTCCCTCATTGCCTCTCCAGCCACAGGATCCTATCTTGGCCCTGCATTCGATGACTCACAGCCAAGCTTGCATGAAATAGGGCCTTCCCAACCGGCTTCGGGATACTCTGCTCAGGAGCCTCCTTTGCTGGGGGAAGACACTGACTGGGCTCCAGGGGTGGGCGGGATGGATCTAGCAAGGGGCCCTGCTGAGGAGGAGGAGGAGAAGAGGCCACTGGCCCTGGAGGAGGAAGAGGATGCAGGATGCCGGGACCTGGAGTCTCTTTCCCCACGAGAAGACCCCGAGATGTCCACCGCTCTCAGCCGGAAGGTGTCTGACGTCACATCCTCAGGCGTGCAGTCCTTTGATGAAGAGGAGGGCGAGGCTAACAACTAGCTTCATTGCCACGCGAGGCCCTGCCTTCCACTCCCACCTGAGGGGCATGGCTGTGACAATACCCTCCCTTCCCCAGCAATACAGCTGAAACCTGGGCAAAAGACTGCGAGAAGCCCAGGAGCTGCCAGTCCTCGCCAGGAAAATGGAGGGCCAGGATGGGATTTTTATCCAGGCTTATGCTGTAGAAACCACAGGGCCGGGGACTGAGGCCCAGGCAACCAGATGGCAGTGGACTTGACTTGGCTGCGGGCTTCTGGGTCTGTGATGATGAGGCTGCAGTTTGTATCCTGGGGACAGGAGCACAGAACAGCCTGTGGCCATCGACTGCATCTCAGCTGTTCACGCCCAGATTCCGTCTTCCCGGAGCCTTGACTGTGGCTGTCTGAACGCCCCCTTTCTCCATGTCACTCTTGCTTTTTCCGACTCTGTGTTTTCTCTGGCTGTGGCCCCAGCTTGACCCTACTATGAGGAACAGACCTCGGGGGCTGTCGAATGTGGCTCGATGGGCACAGGGAAGCCACACCTTCTTAGAGGGTGGCAAGTCTGCCCTCAGTGGGTAACTTGGCTTCTGAGGCCAGGATTCATGGGGGAGGTGGGTGGATGTGGTTGCTGGGAGGCACAGGGGCACAAACAGGAGTCTTTATATAAGGCCCAACCCAGAGATCAGAGAGTCACTGATGGGACCAAGAACAAACAAGGCCACCGGCCACCGGTTCTGGGATCTTGAGTATCTTGTGGCTGAAAGGAGGGTTCTAAGGGTCTGGGAAAAGACCCGGTGAGGTGGCTGCTCCAGCTCTCGCTTCCTTTGTCTGCCTTCTCCCAGCCCCTGCTCTGGGAGCCCCCACCCTGAGGAGGGGACACGGAGCGCAGGTGTCCTGCCCGGAGGGGAAGCGTGAAGGCTGTGCCTCCCTCCATCTACCCCCGAATTCTCTGGAGCTGTTTACACTTTTCTCTTTGCCTTTTCTACATTTTTATAACTTCTTGGGGACTCAGGTTGAGTGGAGTGAGGAGTCTGGTGCTGTCAGGCCCCCCGCCAGGTGGGTTGTTTGCTGAGGAGCTGCGTGGGCACTTGGCTCCTTTCTCCCCACCCCCGTCTTCAGCTCCTCCCAGGAGGGCCTCACAGGCAGCCTCCCGCCCTCCCTCGATGGGTTTACAGTGATGCATAAGCCCCTGAAACTGCTTGCCCTCCCACACTCAGCACATAAAAGCCCCGACACTTCTGTGAGGGATTCTGACGACAGGGACAGGGACAGGCTAGCGCGAGGAAGTGGCAACTGCGGGGCACACTGCCCCTCCCTGCTGCCGCGGGATCCCATTCCCTAGCCCCTGACAGAGGGAGAACCTGGGGAGCAGTGAGAAGCTAAGACGTTCGTTCATTGCCTACCTTCCCTTTTTCCTGTCTGTCTCCAGCTCCAAGTCCTCCTGCCCTACCCAAACTTCATCGGGGGTCCTACCGCTTGTGTCCTCTGCCAAAAAGCGAGCACTGTCACCTCTCTCAGACCCTGGGCACAAACTATCCCTGCCCCCACCCCAGAGGCCTATTTCTTTGGAATGAGGAGGTTGAGAGTTGGGGTGTTTCTGTCCATCTATGACCCTACTCCCCCTCCCCCCCATGAAGTTCACACGTTCATACACGCCTGCACCTGACATGCAACCAAGGCTGGGGTCCCATGTCCTCAGGGGAGGAGGTCAGTTGTTGGAGTAGACAGAAGTATGCATGGTGAGCCAGGGGGGTGAACCGCTTACCTCATTTAAAGCTGTGGCTTGTGTGATCATGTGACCTGACTCGCAAGGTCCCAGGACCTCCTGTCTAGGAGCCCTGGCAAGCGGCCTTGCGCCCATGCCCTGCACTCCTGCTGCAGGTCTTGGGGCTCTGCATGCATGCTCAGGGGGGTCCCTGTTTCCTCGCCTGGAGCAACTTGCTCTCCCTGTGCACCATCTTTTCCTCTGAGTCTCATCCCCTTCGTGCCCCGTATTCTGCCCCCAGACCGCAGTGGACATCCACTCCAGGGAGTGGGCTCATTCATCACAGTTCCTTTTTGCTCAGGGCCCTGGGGAGTTAACGGGAGGTTAGACGAAAGCAACGTTCTTTCCTCCTTGCCTCCTCGAGGAAGCCTTCCTTCGGTTCCTGCCCAAGGAGGACTGAACTGTGAAGGAATCGAGCAGTTAAGACACCAGCAGGGCTCCACATCCCCAGCGCGCTGGCGGCTGGCATACGTGCAGACCAGAGGTCAGCTGAGGGTCTGCATTTGCAAGGAGCTTCCCTCCCACTCTGAAGAGGGAGAGGCCCCAGGGAGCTGGCCTGGGACCCTCTTAGGACTCTTCGGGAGGAAGGAACTGCCTCTGGTGCTGGGGGCAGGGTGCATGGGGTTTGCTTATAGCCTTTTTGGGGGGAGGGGGAGCATGTGCAGGAAGAGGCTGTTGGGGTGGGGGAGGGTCGCTTTTCCTTTGGGGTTAAAGGCTGTGCAGCACGATTTACAACAGTCCGGGAACAGGGCTGTCTTTACATTATTGTGAATGAAACTGCTCATGCTACATGATTTTCTTATGGTGGGGGGGAGGGGGTGCACTTTTATTTTCAATTCAGTTTATTAAAGGAAAACCCAAATCTTCCATTATTCCCCTTCCACTGCCCCCCTTCCCGGAACCCCACCCCATTCCTTCTTATCCTTGTGTTAAGGAGGGAATCCTGGTGAATGAGTTTAAGACCTTCTCCCTGCCCCCACCTATCAGCCCATACTCGTCTTCCAGGTCTGGGGAATTAATCCATTTTTATGGCCAGTCTTAGCATGTATTCTTAATGTGACGTCCCCACCCCAGGCCCAAGAGAGATTCTATGACATATATTACAGAGAGAATTATATATAAATATATATAAATATTATAGAGTATATACACGTGGGCATGGGCTTGAATGCCCACTGCCAGCCCCCTCCTCAGGTTGCAGCCTCTCTCTCTTGGCCTGGGGAGGGGGCAGGGATGGAACGCTGGGGGGGCTCCAGGCTATGTTCAACGGCACTAAACAGAATGTGGTGGCATCCTCTGACTATGAGTGTCTTCTTTGGGGGATGAAGGAGACTGGGCCCCTGGGAGGGGAAGGAGGGAGGAGACTGTCATGCTGGACAGGGGACACAACTAAAGAAGGCATCAAAGCAAGGAGGGCGCGAAGCACTGGGTGTGGAAGCGAGGGTTTCTGGATGCTGGGAGCCCCTGGGACCACTTACAGCAAAGGCAAGCTAATGGCAGGCTCCCTGTTGCTGATTTGGGGAGGATAAGGTTCTGACTTGCCAAGTGTGGAAGCTCTTCTAGGCTGCTCCCTTTAGTCTCTTTATGCACAGTTGACTACTTAAATGGGGGACAAAGGAGAGGGAGATGGGATTGGCCTTTCACTGCCCTCGTAATGGCCCTGGCTTGGGGACAGGTACTGGGAGCCAGACGAGTCTGGAGGCTAATTTAGGAGAGTGGATGTGGGCAAGAGGGGAGCCCACCAGGGTGGTGGGGACTCTGAGACACGAGGCTGTGGAGGGTTGGCGAGTGTGTTCTGAGGCCGCCAGTCTATGAGGTCATAAGGTGGTCCCATCTCCTCCTCCAAGATGGCACTTGCAGGGCCACAGTTGTCCTGGGCCTCCCTTTATTCACCCCGTGGAGACTGAAGGTCGGATGGACAAGCCAGGAGGCTGCTGGGACAAGAACACTGGAAAAGCTGTGGGGGAATGAGGGGAAGCACAGAGGGGCAGGGAGTTCCCCACTCGCACACCAGGAAAGCTCAGGAAGCCCCATGCGGAATCAGGGACTCTTCACTGGGATGTCTGGAAAGCGGGGAAAAGGCCTAGATTATCGACCGCAGCTACTCTCTGCCCAGATTCCAACGCCTCCTCTAAGACTCTCACTGTCACATTTTAAGATTCCCAGGAGGGCCAGGATATCGGTGCGATCTCTCCAACGTTAGGACATACTCTCTCCCACACAACTGCACTCTGGCCTGGGCGTCTTTTCCTCTTCTCTCTCGGGAGGTGGTCTCAAGAGGTGGTCAAAGGATCAGTTCATCGTCCTCCTCCTCATCTGTGGATCGCAGGCTGGGGCCCTGCAGGATGTCAGCCAGCTCCTCTTCCAGCCCTGGACTCTCCACCAGCTCCAGCTCCTCCAGCTCCCCTTCCGCCTTGGCTGGAGCCAGGGAGAGAGGGGGATCTGCACAGGGGGAGGGCTCGGCGGTCTCGGGCAAGGCAGGGGCCGCGTCCTCTGGCCCAGTGGCCTCAGTTCCATCCTCAGGCAGGCTCCAGGCCTCTGCGGGAGGGAGCGGGCCCCCAGGAGTCTTTCGAGTTGAAGTTGTGTTCCGGAAGCTGGCAAGGGGAGGGCGGAGCTGCACCCCCGACTTGGTGTGCCCCTCGATGGCCTTCTGCAGCTGGGGGGGCAGAGGGAAAGGGAAAGAGGGTACAGAATTGGGAAGAGAAAGACGAGGCGGGGTGAAAGAGAGAGACGGGGTGAAAGAGAGAGACGGGAGAGAAGAACAGACACAATAAAAAAAAGGAAAAGGAACGGGAAAGACGTAGAGTGGCAAGAAAGATGGACAACACGGACAGATCAAAGAAGACAGAAAAAGGAAAAGAAAGGGGCATGACCAAGAGACCCCCGCCTCCCGCAGAGCAGCGACTCTCAAGCCTCCTGAGCCAGGTCCTCCTTTGACCCCCTTCCTGGTGACCTTCAGGTCCCCTTCAGCCACATCCCATCTCTTCCCTCTCTCCACGGCCCCCCCCATAGTACACCCCTATAAACCCATGACTCGGCCCTGAGCGCCGACCCCAAACCCATGCCAGGCATGGAAGATCGCAAGGGCTACATCTGGGCTGGAGATCTATGTCCCGTTCAGGACTGCAGCCATAATAGACTTCGCCGTCCTCTCTACTCCCCCCACCCCAATGGTTGTACCCCCCAATCTCTGTGTGAGGAATAGAAAGGGAAATGGGTGATTAAGACCATCACCCCCACATCCTGTGCCAACCCCTTCCTCCTGCCGCTCAAATGGAACACACTGCTCTTACCTCCTCCAATGCCAGCACCCCCCGGAGCTTCCCCATACTTGTCACATAGGCAAGGTGGAGGCCCAGGAGCGAGAACAGCGTGTGCGTCTGTGTGGAGAGAGCAGGGGATCAGCGCAAAGGCAGCCCCACACCCCCCACGCCCTCCCAGCAGCCCTGAGTGCTGGGCAAGGACTAGCCTTGTGCAGGGACGCCTGCTCCACCAGTTGGAAAGGGGACTGGTCAATACAGCAGCAGTCAAAACAGACAGGCTGGCTCAGCTGCTCCTGCTCCCAGGCCTCAATCTGTAGGGCAGAGGAAGGCATTCACCCAATATCACAGGAGTCCCCTTCAACCTCAGACAGGAGGATCTGACCCCCAAGCAGCCCTCCTAGCCCCAGGCCAGAATCCTGAAATATGCAAAGAACTAGCACAGACCTTCCAGATCACTAAACCCCCTCCTTCCCTTCTTCCCAGGGGACGGCCCCTCCCTTTCCTCCCTCAGCAGGCCCCACATCAACCTTCAGCCTCAGGCACTGGAACACCTCTCCGTTGTTCACCTTGCACCTTTCCAGTCGTTTCCCCTACTGGGGTCCTACCCACTGCTCCAGAGAAACCAACTACTTTCCGCTCCTCAGACGTGCCTAACGGCTTCTGCGCTGCGTTCCCCTTACCCGCCCACCCTGCACCCACACAGCTCCCCTGCCACTCCCAGGCACTGGCTTGGCCCCTTTTTCAGTTCCTGCAGCACTCTGCTGGCCTGTCCTTTGCAGAAATGGCACGGACCATGCTCACTGTTGCATCGGTATTTGTCTATGCCCACTGGACGTGAGCTCCTTGAGTGTTACTGCTATCGATGGTTGCGTGTCGTGAAAATATACTACTAGCATGTTTGCCTTTTATGCAGCAGATCACCGCGAGTATTTGTTGGGTTTGAAGAGCTGTACGGAGTCACACGAGTCAGGAAAGCTCTCTTTCAAAGCACAATGGCCGACTCTCTTCTTGATTTGAGATACGAAGCCCAAATCCCCAAGCTTTCAAGGAATTCAGAATAGCTCTGGCTTCCATAAACAAATCTAGAATTTTCTGAAGTTCTCGTCTTCCCTGACTAAAGGTTCACATGGAGTTTGGCCAGCTCTCACAGCACAGGATGGTGACCACTTAGCAGGTATGTGGTAGAGACTATTTATAGGACAGGGGGCTAGACCCTTGCCGACTCCGGTTTGGCTGGTCCTGTCCTCCTGGACCTCTCTATGCTCATTCCTGGCCTCTCCTGGTTCCATTTTTGCCTCCCCTTAAGGAACAACAACAACAGAACCATTTCCAGAGCACATGTACCAAACGCTTCCTCTATGTCAGGCATTATTCAAATTGCTTTACACTTCTTCATTCATTTAATCCTTTCCAACAACACTATCATTATATCCACTTGACAGTGGAGGAAGCCAAAGGCACAGAGCGCTTAAGTACAATAATTTGCCCAAGATTACACACAGGAGGAGCTGGGCTTCTGACTTTGACTGCTGATAGTGTTCCAGGTAGCCCCTCACCTCTTGTCCAAGGGGAGGAGGATGTCTGCTCTTGGCTTTGAACTTGAAAAGCTCGGCCTCAGTTACAAACCAGAACTCCCAACTGTGTGTACTCCTAACAGTGTAGCAGAATTAAGTCACAGCAGGGACCTCTTATAATCTATAACTGAATTCTTTCAATAGTCCTATAGATATCATCTTGATATTACCAACGTTGCCACCTTGATCTAGTCTGAAAACCATGTTCAAAATAATCTGAATTCTGACTCCTATTGGATCTTATCCCTCTCAAACGTCATTGGGTCACATGGGAGCTGGGAGCTGCCTAGTCTTCCTTCGGAAAGATATAAACTAAAAATGTATGACCTATCTTCTTTTTATCCCTGGCTGTACTTTATTTCCAGTGGTTGGTTATAAATAGACTCACTGATCAACTAGCAGGCTTCCTCTGTTTGGAATAATAACAATAATAATAATGATAATGATAATAATAATAATGGTATTATTATTAGTTGTAGCACCTTAGCAATGTACTTCTTAATTGCAATTATGACCCATCTGATTCCTGCTGTGGGCAGAAGGAATGGTTTTTGTTTTTCTTCTGCGGTCATCTATTTGATTTTTCCATACGCCGTTTATCAGAAGTGTTTTGAGGGGTGACATGGAGAGAAGGGGGAGGTTTCCTTTCTCTCTTGTCACTCCCCAGCACCTCCTCTAACCCTGGAGGACTTTTACTTTTCAACACATATTTATTCTGGATGTTCAGTAAGATGTTTCTTGTGAAACAATATCCTTTGTGGTTCTGCCAAGCTACAAAGCTCTACCTTTCCAGCCCTCACAGTGAGTCTGCATTCTCCTTAACTAAATGGAATGGCTGCTAATGGATTTTGGTGTGTCTCCACACCTCCCAGGGTGTCCCATCAATAGTGTTCCCAGTCACTGCCCCACCTTCTTTCACTCCTCACCACCAAGCCCATTCATTCAGTGTGCTCAGGTTTCTCTCTCGTGGACTTCATAACTAACTCTTTTGGGTAATGGGCATGAGTCTCGAGGAGGCAGCACTGTCAATATTTGTCCTCAGTTTGTGGTTCTTCCCGTCTTGCGTCCTGGCATCTTCAGTTGTCCACTATCTCACGACCCTGACTCCTCAGCAGAGTAACCCTCCACCAGGCGCTGATTTCCCCCTTTCAGCTTAGATGCTGTTCTTCTGCACGGGTACATGTAAGGGCTGGCGCCATTTCACTTCAGGTAATGCTCAGCTTTCCTGCATAGCCTCGGCCTGGTCTAGAACGTCCCTAACGTCTAAAGGATCTGAGGCTCATCGTAGCACCATGGAGACTCAAAACTTTGATCTTCTGAGATGACAACAAAGCGTCTGAGAACACTTCCCAGGTCTCCCCCACCTCTGAGCAATGTGCCCTCCACTCTCCCCATAAGCATACCTCCTTTCCAATCTCTCAAAATGCTTTTCCCCCTAGGCTCACATCTTAGTCTTACAACATGATGAAGAAGGTAGGAAAAGATGAGCAATATCTGCATTTGACAGAACCATCCACTCAGCCTGCTGTCTCCCTTACTTACCTCTTCAGGCGACATGTTATCCACTAAATCCGTTGAGTCCTAGGAAAGAAGGGCAAAGGTCCAAGTTCTTTCCTAATGGAACCATAGTCACATCTCCCCAACCAGGGCCATACATGCCTTGCTTTCCAACTCATCACCCTTTCCAGGTGATGAACTTCTTGGTGGGACCCTTTCCCCGCTGTCCCTGCCCCAACACATCTCTCACCTGACTTGTTTTCTTCTTTGTGGGGCGGGTTTTGCCCAGTAAGCAGCACAGCAGGGACTGAAAGATGGAGGGTCTTTGACCTGAGAGGAGTGGGGAGTGGATGGAAATGGAAACAAAGTAATACTCATCCTGGGAGGAAATGGCCGGGGACTCTGGAGTGGTCCCCAGACCCAGAAGGTCTGTCCTTCCCAGGTGCCTCACTGCCACACACACCCTCTCTTCTGCCCTCCTGAATCAGCCCTCGCCCCACTCCTTGGGGCAGTAACATGGAGATTCAATGAATAGGAACGCCTTCCCACCACTTAGCCTCTCTCCTCCTCACACTAGCAGCCCTTAAGCTGAGTGAAGGTGCATGATGGGAGAATCCTCACCTGCAGGCTCCGGTGCTTCTGGCTGCTGTTTGTGGTTGGGCAGGGGCCCATTGGGCTCTTCGGGGTGCAGTGGGACAGTAGGAAGGGGGTGAGGAGGAGGAAGAGGAGGCATCTGTAAGGAACAGGAACAATTCTCAGTCCTGGAGAAGAGGCCGCCTGGTGCTTGCCTGTCTTCACCAGCTGGTGTCCTGGGAGAACTAATTCTGTTCTTCCTTCCCAGTTCAGAATTCCTCTATCCTTTGAATTCTTATCAGTACCATCACCTGCAACCTAATCGCAGTCCTTTGGACCCAGGGGCACTGATCTGTGACTTACTCTGGGACCAGCATCTCCACCCCTTCTTCCTCCTTTCCCTTTGTGCCAACCTCTCCTGCTCCCCCGCCCTTCCCAGCTGGGTCACCTCAGGCTTCCAGGGAAGGTCCTCCTCTTCATCCTCATCCACAAAGGCGAAGGACTCCGGCCGGCCCCCAGAGAAGCCGCGGCACCCCTCTCCAGCCTGCCGAGTCTTCCCGTCATAAGGCAGCTCAGACAGCTTCCTGGCCAAGTCCTGCGCTTCCCGCAACCTCCGCTCAGGACACAGGTGGCGCTGCAGAAGGGCCTGCAGCTCGGACCGCTCCACGGAGCCCAGCAGGATCATTGAATCTGGGGGCCACCCAAACTTGGCCTGAGGGCCTGCTCGTTACCAGCCCCCAACTCCAGCCCACTCAGCAGGCTGAGCAGGATGCGACCCCCTCACATCTTCCCCAAAACTCGTCTTAAAAATCTTCCAGGATTGACCTCACTCGTTCTCTTTTAGTTCACCCATTTACTATAGCACTTAGAAATCCAATTAATTGTACACTAATTGGTGCTAATTTGTACTTATTTTGATATAGCCTGTTTGCAAATAGGTGAACTTGGTATTAAAATAGGCTAATCAACCCCATCTCCAAAAAAATAAAAAAAGAAACATTAAAGGCCATTCATGCAGGCGGAGATGTGACTATACTTTGAAAGAAATCTATACAAGGATATCTGATGTTTAATCACTTAAAGACTCTGTGTCCCCTAGGATATAAACAGAAAGCCTGGGAAGGTCTTTTATATGTTTATCGAAATTCTGCTAGTATAATTAACATTTTCATTAAGTTTTAAGGCCATAGAATTGTAGCAGTGTTATTGAGATAAATCTTACTGCTAAGTCTTAGCCATATTATGAAAACACTGCACCTAACCGGCTGTACCCTTGCTCCAATGAAGAGCCACTGCTTTAGAGGTCACTTAGAAGGTATCTGGGATTTGGGGAAATATTAAAACTAACTTAACTTGGACAATTTGCACACTCTGATTATCTGAAATCAGTACTAACAATTTTAATGGTTCCAAACGGCCCTCCATAATTCTTTGCTACCACACAATTTCAAACATTAGGCAAGTAGTTATTTAATATCTAGTAAATACCTATAAGAAGGCAGTCTGAAGGAGATAGAGGCTTTAGTCTCCAAGAGTACTCACTCTAGTGAGGAAGACTAGACAGAGATCTATAAACCATATCAGGAAATAATACAGAGCAGGGTTAAGTTCCAACGGTGGGCAGAAAGAATGGTGAAGGAAGTGAACTGTGAAATCACTGCTTACTATTAATAAAAGCGTCCACTCATTCATATGGAAGTTTCATCTGGCCCTCAAGCAGGGTATTAAAGAACAGTTATCATTTATCTAAGTGGCAAAGAGAACCACAGAAGGGGCTGTAAGACTTCCAATTGACCCTCATTATTTGGGGATTCCCTATTTGCTAATTTGCTTTCTGGCTACAGTCTTATTTGTAACCCAAATCAATACTCGCGGTGCTTCCGCCATCATTCAGACATGCGCAGAGCAGCCAAAAATCTGAGTCGCCCCACGTATGCATCCTGGATGAGGGCTGAACACCCTGTATGTCCTCTAGGTGCAATGGTTCAGTGTCATATCCCTAATTCAGTGTTCATGGTGACTTTATAGAACATAAGCATAATGAATAATGGGAACTGACTGTATTTCTTTAGTTGGGTTTTAACCGCCTTCTTGTGCTTGCATTACAGCTGTCTTTTTCCTTCCTGGAGGATGACCAGGTTCCCTAACAAGCACAGGCTGGGTCTCCTGTTAGCAGACTGGGTGGCCCCTAAAGATGAGCCCACACCACAGCCCCCCCACACACACACACACCTCCATGGGACCTAAGCTCAGGTCACTAGCTCAGGGGTGGCCTTCCTTTCATCCCACTGACCTTTCGAATCAACCAGTGGTAAAGTCTTGAATGTGGTCGTCTGGAGCAGGGTTTGCAACTCCCTGTACGTGCAAGAAGCTGAAACAAACTTCACATCACGGACCATGATGTCTTCAACAAAGATTGTAAATTTGCTATGGAGGGAGAAAGCATGGGGTGGGGTTAGCCCCACCATATGCCTGTCCCTTTGCTGTCCCTTCCACTCCTCTCATGAGGTTTGCCATGCATTCGATCACTCACAATATTTAGTAAGTACATAGGAATATAAAACCAAGTAAAAAGCAGTGCCTTCAAACATCGATCCTAGCCTCAGCCTCAGCCTTCGACTCTCCCACCCTCACCCCCTCAAAGCTGAACTAATTCCAGCTGGTGCCCCTGACCTGAGCTGGTTCCAACCAAGGTCAGGCAAGTAGGGTAGCTTCTTGACCTGGATGATGCTGTCATAGAGGGAGGGTTGCAGACTCTGAGCCACCATGTTGGCCAAGATAACAGCCACCATCATGGGTAGGATGTGAGCAATCTGACCCGTTAATTCGAAGCAAATCACAGCTGTGGAGACTGTGTGGGACACTGCGCCAGTCAGCGCTGCTGCTCCTAAAACGAGACACAGGAAAGTACTGGTGCATTAGGGTTGCCATGCTTGGCATGGAGGGCGCTTGGGGTGTGATGGGAGTGATACAGAGTAGGGAGACATGACCTTGTCAGTGCCAATACTCCGGAGATGACCACTTGTCAAGAGTAGGGGCTAGAATGCTGAACTGTCAGAAAATCGTCATTCTGATTTCATTCCATGACCTCTGACAAGTTACAAAATCTTGGTATGTGCCCAAATTTTCATTTATAAAGTGGAGATAGTGATGTCCTATCTGTTCCTTGCTTTTGAAAGTTTGGATCCTTCTTAACTGAGCATTTTAAAACCCAGTCATGGCATTTTACTTTGGAACTCAGGTTTTGAGCCAACAATTTATGGGCGAGTTAAGATCATCATATGAGCAGTAAAGCTGGTTAGAGCTCCTATGTCTAGGGGAGGCGTGGCCTTAGATGTTATGGAATGTTGGTGAAGAGAGGAAAGAGGAGGGAGAAAGGAGGACTAATAATGCTGGGGATTATATTGGTCACTGTGTTAGCCATGGTTTTTGGTTGGATGATAGTAGATTAAATGAAAAAAATCATAGACTCTCAGAATGTTAGGGCTGTAAGATATCTCAGGAGTCACTTTAGAATAAAGAAACTGAAGCTCAGAAAAGCAGATAACTTGTCCATGGTCATCCAGGTGACAAGTGGCAGGGATGGGTCCAGAGCCCATGGTTCTTAGCTCTTAGTCATGTGCTTGCTCTTAAGTCTCGTCAATATTAGCACATCTGCAAGGTAAAAGTAGCTGAGCCAGTCACCTGCACTGCTGTTTCCATGATTCTTTGGAAAGAAAAAAACAAACAAACAAACCCTTACCAAATATTGAGACACAATCATAGGTGCTTTCATCCCTATTATTTCATTTAATCCCCAGAATCCCTTTTCTACATGAAGAAACTAAGTCTCATAGATGTTCAATAAATGTTAATCACAGTCAGAACCTAGGGCTGATTATTTGAATAGAAGTTGAATTACATAGCATTAAATTAAAACCATATTGTGTGGCCTGGAATGAAGAGGTCATGGGAGAGTTTGAGTGTGGGCATTTGAGAGGCTCAATATTTGGTGAAAGGAGGGTGGGATGTGTCTCACCAATTACTGCATAGCCCCCAGGTAGGATCTTGTAGATGATGTCATCAAATAAGATACCATCAGGGAATATCATGGCCATGATCTCTCCTACCAGCCTTCCAAATGCAGCTCCTAGAGGAAAGACAAAAGGAAAGAAGGTGTTAGAGATTCAAGTTCCTTATCCTCTGTATTTTCAGAGCCAATCCCTTCTTGGGTGCTAAGGCCAAATATAAGCCTCCAGCTTTCCAGGCCTTTATTTTCCCAGTACCCTAGAATGCTGCTATCCGTAGGCTCCCAGGCTCCCCATCAGAACTTACCGAGGACAAACACAGGCATGAAGCCTCCACAGGGTATGGGCATAGTGGTGGACACGATGGACATCCAGAACTGAGGTAAAAAGAGGCGTCAGGACACCTTTTCGACTCCGCCCAACACATGCAGGCACACTCAACCCCCTTCCCACCATCTTCCTTCTTGCTTCAAAAGTCACAGAAATCCTGGGATGGCTCATCCTTCTGGAAGCCATCTTGTCTGTCCCCCTTCCTCAAGAACCAAAAAAAAAACATGGAGTGCTCAAGCTAAGAGATCACCAAAGACAACACTATAAGAAACCTCCTCCAGATGGTTAACCCCAAACCCTGCTACTGCTACTTGGAGTGACTATATTTGCCCCTAGGAAATCTACAACAAAGGATTGGGACCCAAGAGTTCTCCTCTGTCACTGCTCACGAAAAGGGCTCTAGCCCTCTGTATCCTTTTGGCTTCAAAAGGTCACCTCAGCAGAGCATCCTGAAACTCTTGAAGCTGAAAAATACCTTTTTCCTGGTCAGATTATGTTTCTGAAAAAGAAACCCCAGTTCCAAGAGGCAGACACACCTTAAAGTCTTAGTGACTTACTGTGTGACTAATTCAGCTTTGATACGGTTATTTACAAAGCCATTTATATGACAAACCTCACAGGGGAACCTGCAGTGGAGACTATCCTGCCTGAGCCATTTCCTGTGACATCAAGTCACTTTAAACAAAGGATTCAAAAATCAGACGTGTCCTGACCATACTGGAAAGGCACATTGAGAAAGCCAGGTGACTCAGCCAATGTAACAGAAAAGAGCTCCAAGGCCAACTTTGTCAGGTAGTATTCCAACAGGAACTGGGATAATTTTAGAAAAAGCAATGTGTGCATTTTGTGGCAAAGAATGCAAATGAATTGAGAAATAGAGCAGAAAAAGGAGTAGTGGTTGAGCTTTTGAAATAGCTGTAAAAGAAGTAAAACTAGGAGACATAATATGTAAGTTAAGCAAAAGTTTATATTTCCCTTCCAAAATAAGTAAGCCAATCTTGGAAAAGGATCTCCAGCTAATTTGGTGAAAGATGGTGGCAGCTAAAGTTCAAAACCCATTGCCAGGATCAAAATATTTACAGTTTAAAAAACAATTGCATTGTAAACTAACAAGAAATAAATTTCCTCATTTCCTGAACCTTAGAAAGAATTCCCTTGAGCCCCAGCTGACCTCAGGAGGCCGTAACAAAGGCTCTGAGAAGGTTTCATCCCAGAAACTCTGAGATGGGGCAAAATATGTACTTCATGCCAAAATATCACTGAAACAGTTGACAACTGAAAAGTGAAATGTACACATGAAGAGAATGTAGACTGAGAAGTCCCTGAGTCTATATAGCACAAGTGTATGTGGTTATCTCTGTCTTCTCTTTGCACTGGCACAGGGCTCAGTAAATGTAGGTAGGATGCAAGTAGGTAGGTATGTAGGTAGGTAGGTTGGTACGTTGGTAGGAAAGAAGGATAAAAGAAGACAGCTTGATCAAACAGTATTGATGCAAAGCAGAAAAGGCTTCTCAGGGCTAATATCTGCTGCCACACCCAACAGTAATGCTCATAGGGAACTTGTTTAAAGTACAGATGACCTGATACCGCTGGAAGCCACCACATTAGGCTGTCTGGAGACAGTTCTAGGCACTTGTAGTTTAAGCTTCTTAAGTGATTCTGACCTCTAACAGTTTGAGGCCCCTTGAACTATTCTGTACCATCTCTTTGGAATACATAAGGGATTCTGAAAAGCCATAAGGGATTTTCTAGGCTCAGGTCAATCTGAAAACTCCAGTAATACAGATAATAGGTGGCTGATAGGTCTGATATCAGAGAATGAACTTTAGATTAGCCTTCAAGATATGTGTAAGAATAGTATCAGGATCAAAGGACATTGGAGTATCCTTCCTATAGCACTAAGAATGACACAAGATTAGCCGGTGTTTCAGCTATTAGCTCTTGCAAGGAAAGATCCAAACACAATGTAAGTGACATGGAACACAAATAACTCCCAAGATTTTAAACACCCAGTTCTAGAGAACTGGGAAGCTAGAGACCCATGATAGATTCATAGATTCCACTTTATTTAGACCTTTCACAGGAAGGAGTGATAGATATGAAGATCAGGCAAAAAGAAGCCTACAGAGCCTCCGGCTGTGCTGAGAACTCCATGATACTAGGCAATCATGTTAGAGGTACTGAAAGGAAAACTGAGAAGTTGCAATTATATTCATACTCATTGTAAAAACTCGTGACTTACAACATAATGATGCTTTCCATGTCTTAAGATTAAGGAAGATGAACATTTCCTTTGTCAATATTATAAAATGTCTGAACTGAGACTCTTATCTGCATGCCCCGATGCTGTGAGTGTAGTATCCTGGAAATCTTAAGTCAGGCTATGGAAAAATAGTTCTAGTCCCTTTTACATTTTAATTTGGCTATGTAACCTATTGCCCACACTCTGGAAAAAATAAAGGGTGTCCAATGATAGGACAGCGAAAAATGCTGGAAGCAATGATGACTGAATAATATCATGGATTTGTAGCGATGAATGGTTTTAGGTTTATAAATAGGATATTATAGGCCTGCTGCAAATTGTTGGGCTTGAAATATAGCCCAGGAAGTGTGTGAATTCCTTTTTCTGATACATTTACGACGTAAACATTATCAAGGATGTAAATCAGTGAGAAATTAATAGTGACAAATACAAATATATACAGTTGAATTTTTCTATATAATCCAGTAGGTTTCTCAGAGTAAACTTTAATCCGTGAAGTAGAATCTAGATATATCCTTGGGAATCCTGGGGTGAGGTGAGGTGTGGGTAAAATGTTGAAAAATGTATAGTATTGTGAAAAATGTACACTATTGTGCTTCTCCAAAAAATTTCAAAAGCTTGACATTTTAAGAGTATATATGATCTCAAAATTACCATACAGTTCAGTCTAGAGGAGTATCAGAAAAACACAATTATTATTATTGAACAATACAATTCGGAGATGCCATCAAAATTTGGAATTGTTTACTGTAGGTGGGTTGGTATACTCAACAACCAATTATAGGAAGTCGGGACTGATTAAATTAGAGAAAATGAACTCTATAACAAAAGTCCAAAAAAGTCCCTAAAAAGACACTGAAAACTTATATATGATAAAAATATCAAATCTTTTGAAGGCAGAAATTAAAAAGGTATAATTAATAAAGTGGGTATGCAAAATGTGGAAGCTACAGACCCAATTCTCCCACCTGGAGTGAAACGGAAAGAACATACAAAAATTCAGCTTCTGAAAACCCACAGCAAATTCTGAGAATGTAAATTACAGTGTTGGAACCTGGGGTGTCAAGAACCTGGTATCTCTAATCATAAGATCATTGACAAGTACATTAAGTGAGCATCAATAAACAAAAAAGGAAATTAAAACATTTTTTTTCAATGATAAGCATCAGATTTGCCGAATATCAATGATTAAGTATTACACATTTGGTACCTAGAGGGTGTATAATAACATTCATTGAACAAATGAATAAACGAACCCACTACAGCTATTACAGTATAAATATCACTTAGTGACTCACACCCTAGGGAAATACAGATTCATAAAAAGTATCATGCATAAGTTAATAGCAAGGGATTCAAAAGCATGAAAGTTCAGTGTGGACCCACTTTTAAATGAGAGCCTTAATATACAGAGGAAAATGTTGGCTTATTCAGGCAAGACATACCATTAGTAATAAGGCAACCATCAAAAAAGAAAAAAAAAAATGCAATCGGCAATTGTAATAGGTGTCACAACCGGGGGTGATAATTAAAGCATCTTTGTATAAGGCAGTAATTGACAAGTCTATAAATATATGATCCTTGACGGGCAGATATGAAAAAGAACTGATGTAAAAAGAGATCTGCTTTTGTTTCCTAATCAGAGTTAGAAGAAAGTGGTCTGAGAATGGCCAAACCCTCACAGCCTCGCTACCTAAATAGAGGATAACAACATTTATACAAATTATTTATAGTCACTAATAAAATTGATTTAAATGTTTTATCTCTTTTGCAATCCTAGAAAAGAGATTATCCACTAGACTGGGGGTAAAAAGGGGAATGCAAATTATCTAAAAATGGATGAGCAGATATATGGAGAATGAAGTGCCTCATTATTTAATATGTGTGTGTGTGTGTGTGTGTGTGTGTAGGGGGGCTGGTTAATTTAGCTGAGGTTTTTACCTAGTTATCTATATTGCTAAACTATATCTTGTCCTTTTTAGCTTGGTTGCTGTGATGTCTTAATAATTTAGCAAGAGGAACCTTTAAGGGTTTTGATGATTATGGCAACATCACTAAGTTGACACGAATGGAACGATAAACCTAGATGTTGGCTCACTTATATACATGAGCAACTTACTTAGGCTATGGTTTCCAAACTATTTCTTTTTAGGTTGGATGAAGATTTACCCTTTCCTACCCTCTGCAAACCCTGCATTGAAAATAGAAGCTTCGAGAGTCGGGAATGGTGGGAGAGGTACCTTCATGATAAAGAAGAGGAAGATGATGATGACAACGTTGACCTGTGGGTGGATCCACACAGCTGACCGGCCCAGGCTTTCGGGATCACCTACGTGTTTTACCCACGTATTGTTGTCAAAGAGGGTGCTGATCGCTTCCCGAGGCATCAACTGTGAGAGGAGGAAGCAAAAGGGGGCAGTTCTCCAAGGATGCTCCGTTCTTCCTCTTTTACAGAACTGATTCCCCACTCTCATTTTTCAAGAGTCCCTTCTGCTCTTTTCTCAGGGACAGATTCTCCCCTTGGGCAAAAGTACAGATGCTCAGAAGCCTGAGGAACATCTGTGCAGTTTCCTCTTCTGCATGTGGCCCAGTCCTGGCTCAGTCATTCTGTGTTGTGCCCAGTGGCCTGACCCTCACCCTCAGACCCCTTTGGAGCTGACCTCTCCAGCCATGAATTGACCCATTCCTGGTGGAAAGGTGAATGAGGCGATGACAAAGGTGACAATTCCAGGATACAACAGGCGACTGAAAAAGAAACAGAATGAATCATCCCCCAAATTTAGCCCATCCACAGTGGATGCCACACTGAACCCTGGCAAGCTGAAGTTTCCTGCAGTCCAGTATAGTCTCCATTCTTTAAACACGGCACATTCTCGCCAAAACGCCATCTTTAAAGGGGAAATCTCACCACTCGCTCTCTACACAGGGTATCAGGGCTTCTGTATTTTTATCACAAGACACTGAAAGGCACCTAATGGTTTCCACAAGATTAAAAAAGAGGAACTCTTGGAGAAGCCATAAAAGTAGGGAGGGCAAAGGAAGGGCAGTGACTCACTGCTTAGCAAGAAACTGGCTGAGGGCCTTGTTGTTTCGGACTCCGAGCATGACTTGGCGATGCAGATACACAAATACAGCTCCCAGGAGCCCACAGCAAATCCTGAGGGTGTAAGTTACACAGAAATGAAACCCTTGTCCCTCAGAGCCACGGAGGAAACAAACACCAGGCACCTGCCTTTCCATTCTACCATCCTCCTCCTAACAAGTTACACGTCATCCATGCCACCCCACCTTCTTCCCAACTTGGGTCCCACACCCGCCCCCAGCTCACCACTCCCAGACCAGGTGACCCCACTAACCCGATGATGGCAAAGGCTGGGAGTTCCTTCAGGTCAAAGGGGAAATCCATTCGGAAACTGGTTCTGAAGAGAGCAGTGATGGTGTCTACAGGATGGAAAGGCCAAGGATCACGGTGGGAGCGTCACAGAAACCCACCAAGAAGGAAGCAGAGGTCATCAGCTTTAAGGAGCAACTCCTTTCTCCCTCCACACCCAGTGTCGCCTCTTCTATTTCATTTTTCTGTGCACAACCAATACCCTCCTACTCCATGACCTAGCTCCTTGTCCTATATCCTTGGGTCTTGGTCCCACGTCCCACGTAAAGCCATCCATTCCTTGTCCGCACTGCCCCCCAGAGCTCCCCTCCACGCCCCTTTGCAAGCCTCCCTATCTCACAGCCCTGTAGCCCAGCGCTCCCGTTACCGGCATCCTTGTTCCACACGGCAAGCACACGGAAAACAAAGGCACTGAACGTGGCCGCAAAGAACCCCCGCCAGTAGTTGTGCACGGCAAAGTAGGTAGAGGTGACCTCGATGCTGAAGAGCACTCCTGTAGGGCGTGGAAGTCGGTCAGGTGCAGACATGCTTGAAAAGCTCGCTCCCACACTCCCACCCCGTGGACCTGAGGACCTGCCCCTGACACTCGACTCACAAGGGGAAGCAATGATCTCTTAGAGTCCGTGTTCTAAACCGTCTACCTGCTCATGGTGGCAGCTCTTTGCAGGCCAGAGGTGTGGTTCAATGAGATCCACAGAGGTTGGGACATGGGGGACCCTCAACCCACGACCCACGAGGATCAGGTGGTGGCACCCTTTCTGTCCCTTAGAAAGTAGGGTTGGGTGGGAGTCATGGTTGTCAGATATTCACAGGGATTTAAGGGTCACTGACAATTTTCTGCAGGGAAGTTACAAGAGAGAAATTGTCCAGAGTGGTCGAGCTGGGCTGTAGAGTTACTGGGACTCTCCTTAACACCCCCTCCAATCTTCCCTTCCTCTTCCCATGCACCATGTATCCTAGGGCAACTTTGTAAGGAAGAAATAAGAAAAATGAATACGAAAGGGCTTCGCTGGAGCTGACAGTGCTCCACAGTCCAAGAAAAGAAAGTAGAGGATGCATCTACATTTCAAAACAATTTAATATTAAAAACTTGACTTAAAAGGACCAAAGCAAGGGGGAAAACCAAGAGGCTAGAAGAAGTTAAAAATAATGATGCTTAAGAAGGGTGGGCGAGGCAGAAGGAAAACCAGTGTCCTAAGCAGTACTGTTTCTGAGAGTAGATACAAGAGCAGAAAACAAGGAAGTAGATATACAGAAAAACAGCAAGGGCTGATAGGGACACAGTTCAGAACGCTAATGAGGGCACAGGAAGCAAGACTCAAGAGAGGCGAAGAAAATAATCTTTAAAGATATTAAGAATAAGGGAGTGGACTTTGATTAGATGCAAAGTAAAGATGGATGACAAAATCACCTAAAACCTAGCTAATTCTCATCTTTATAAAAAAACTAGGGAAAAGCAGCATGTAATTAGGTGGACGGAGAAGACACCACTTGCTTCTCCTTGTTTCACATTCAAAGCCACATCTCATAAATCCCTCAGGACCCCAGCCCTTCTCTTCCATAGGTGACAGAGGAGGTTGCTTCTTCATGGAATAGCAGCAGCATTTTGGCGGAGGACTCCTAGAGGTCAGCTCCAATGTCACCTTCTCTAGGAAGCCACCCCCAAACCCCTCCTCAGGTAGAAACAGTCCCTCCCTCACCTTGTTCTCTCAGTTTTGAATTATCAGAGCACCTCCCACTTTCAGATGTAGTTACTCGTTTACATCTCTGAGTTCCCCCTAGGACTGAAAGTCTCCTGGACCCCAACACCTAACACAGTGACTGGT